AAAAAATGTTTGGAATCATGTATGATTTTCGTTCCACTTCTCACGTGTACACCACTTTGTATTGGTCTTTCACGTGGAATTCCAATAAAATTGATTCATGTTTGTGGCTGTAATGTGACAAAATGTGGAAAAGTTCAAGGGGCCCGAATACTTTTGCAAGCCACTGTAGAGTAGAAAAGTGCTCTATAAGAACCAGTCCATTTACCATTTAGAATAGAAAGGCAGGGGTTACTCAGACCATGGCTCAGATAAAGGCCCAATCTCTGCCTTTTTAAATAGTACGAACAGCAGCAGTAATCTCTGCTCTGAAGTAAAAGCTCTGAAATATATGGAGATGCTTTTCATTTATTATATTTTCTCTTGTTAAATGACAAATATGTGGAAAAAGCTATTTTTAACCATAGTTTGTGTGTCTATTACTTGTCAGTCACAAGCACCTTGAGTGAACTGTTTGATTTGGTGCTATAAAAGTCAAATTGAATTGAACTGAACTGAATTGAAAGTTGTTACCAGCTTTCATAATATTTTATTATGAAATGTGGTATGACCAAATGACCAAAATGACACAGAAAGCTGTTTTCCTTTACATCCAACCACCTCCAACCACAGCTATCGCCACCAGATGGCATTATCTGTGGTTGGAGATCTAAGGAACTTCAGCATTGACTTTGTTTTTCTGACCTGGAAGCTAAGTCCATGTTTTATTCTTGAGTCACAAACAAACAAATGGTTCCTCAGTGGAGAAATCCCAAACCAGGAATCTACCAGTCCTGTCATTCAGTTTCCTTAATTGCTAACACTGAATCATTCAGTGCCACCTAATGATCTCACTGTATTGTCGGAGGGCTGTGATGCTACAGACACAACTCTTTTACACTGACCACATTGACATGAAGGGCTCAGGCCCAGCTCACAGCATGTTGTATGCTGGCCTGTTACTCGGTCTTATCACTCCTTTCCCGTCACATAACACTGATCAGTAAATCTGAAATATCTTTTAGTATCTCAACAAATGTTGGGCTGGGAGCATTTTCAGTCACTGATGATAATTTGTCTGCCAGAATGATTTAAGACTGACAAATACAAGATGGCTTTGTGCAGAACGCATTTAATTTTAGGAAATAAGATTTGTTTTTTTGCTTTGTAAAATTATTTTTCATACAGTTTGTATAACCCGCATATTTGAGAGAGCTCATCATTTTAATTCCAGTGTAAACAAAAGCTTGAAATCACATTGGTATGTTTCTCAGAATGACGCCTGGAGAGGAAATGGATAGACAGGCTTACAAAGTGAAATTATGGTTGACGTCAGAGAGGGCTTGGCACCATCACTTAGTTAACATCATAAAAGAAAGCAAGTCTGCCAAACCCGGCCCGACCACAGTCGCATTGGAGAGGCTAGATTTCAGACAGGACAGCAGTGACGCGTGACAGACTGAATTATTGTCTCTTAAATAAGACGTGTGCAGCTCAGGAGAGCAGCTGACACCAGATGGTTTCTTGAATTGTTTTCTCTTGTCCTTAATAATTCTCAATGCTTTTCCCCTTCCACTGTATAAAAGAGTTCTGGTCTTTGCCTTTTTTACCAAAACAAGAGCAAAAACCAGACGCAGGTCAATTAAGCCTAGATTAAATCAAGACTTACGCAACTCTGCTGACTATTAATGTGTGAAAATGTGCTCAAAATATAAAATTCTTCAGACTTAAGAAATAACTAGTAATGTTGTCGTCTTTAAGCAAAAAAAAAAGAGGGAGCGACAGAAATGTTTTAGAAGATTTTGGCATTAACAATGGATTCAATGATGTGTATGAAAGGAAACACGCAGATGATGAAACAGTATGATCAACCGACTTACAAACCTTTATGCTACTTCTTTAAATTTCCAAAGCACAGCTTTACTGTTATGATTCACTTCCACCAAAAAAGCCCTAAAGATCCACTCCAAGCTGCCTGCACAACATCAAAAGCAAGACAGGCAAAGTTAGCCAAACTTAGTGCATTTAGTAGATAGAAACAGATCTTTCCCTCAAGAATACGTGGCTAACACTAATAACAGAGCCAAACTGAGAGTTAATGTTTTCAACGTGATGAGAAATATTGCTCCAAATGTTGCCGTGTTGGTTTGCTTGCACATATACATAACTGTACACACCAGAGGCTTTGTAGCCCTGCCTCAAATGAACTAACCCAAGTTTTTAGGACCGCCATATATCTACAGCTACCTTTCCAGTTATACACCTTACTGAAGAGTCCCTGTGTCTCTTTGCCAGCTGGATTAAGAAGGAGTTTCCGACTCGGTAGAAAGAGCAGCTGGGCCAAAGAAGCTGCTCGGTTCAGGAGATGGAGCGCCGGGGTACACAGCTCAATATGTCCACCTACCTACATAGAGGTAATCCCCTACCACAGGGAGCCAAAGGACAGACATCGAGTGGTCATCCTGGTTGGTATGTATGATCAAAAAAACAAAAAAGTGTATGGGGGGGTATTTTTAAGACGTTTTAGGGGAACGATATGAGGCTCCATCCTTTGAAGGCCACATTTGATGGCTTCTTACGTCAAAGCAAGGCGACGAAGGCTGTCCAAATTCGAAGGCTCCTCCAGCCGAGGCCGACAAATGTGTCCCTGGGATTTGAAGGATGCATCAGGCGAATCCTTTTCAACCCACTCTATCCCAAGATTTATTGTGCATTGGTGGTTGTAAAACATTTTTTGGAAAAGAAAAATGGCAGATGGTCCAAGCAAAGCAGTCCAGGGATAAACTTTTAAAGTCAGCATTGGGTTTTATTGCATTTAAATATCCAACTCTTCCAAACATTAAATTAACAAAGAATCTTAAAAAGTTACATTTTGTCCAATTCAGGGGTGAGCAACTCCAGGCCTCAAGGTCCTGCAGGTTTTAGATGTGTCCTTGACCCAAAAAGGAGCTGATTCAAATGGCTCAATTACCTCCTCGACATGTCTTGAAAATCTCCAGAGGCCTGGTGATGAACTAATCATTTGATACAGGTGTGTTGACCCAGGGTGAGATCTAAAACCTGCAGGACACCGGCCCTTGAGGCCTGGAGTTGCCTACCCCTGCTCTAATTTATCAGCCACTCACTTCCGGCCTTCTCGACCTTCCTTTGTGTCCTTTGAGGGATGGAGCCCCTGAATTTTGGACGCACTTATGGTGGGTTAGGAGAGTCAAAACTGAAAAAATATTGCATTCAGATTTTGTAGAGCTATCCAAGTCCAATACCTCATTAAAAACAAAAATCTCTGTAAAATGTAGTTTTTATGACGAGCACTTGTATGATGAACTAGGCAGGAAAATTATGCTTTTCTTAGTGGAATAGAAAAGAAAGGATTAGGGAGCAGTGGCTATATGATTATGATTTATACGATTCACTGACATTCCTGTCTTGGACAAAACAGCATCTGGGCTGATTGCTGATTTTTTTTTCTAAGATGATGTTTAGTAAATGAACAAAGTCAATGGGAAGTTTTTGCTACTTTAAAGGAAAAGGAAAAAGCATTGCATTTTTTGATGATGATTAAAAACAATGAGTTTTTAAAAAAATGCTGTCATAGTCTTTTTTTTTTTGTAGTTTTCACTGGCACATTAATGTCCAGCTGATTCCCCTGGGTGTACAACACTTATCTCTGTGTGTGCAATATCCACCCTAAACACACCCACACTGTGTGGAGAGTAATTTTATCAAAAATGCCTTAAACTTGTAAAAAAAAAAAGAGAGAGAGTTAAATAATGTGCCAGTGAGATGATGGAGATAACAGCATAAATATTTCCGTGCAGTTTAAGGTGTATTAGTCAGTTATATTCTGTTTTATATCATCCTGTAGCTTCCCTTTTTTTAGCCCTTGCAAAAATTTCAGAAATGCCAGAGTCC